AGATGGATAGATAGATAGATAGATAGATAGATAGATAGATAGATAGATAGATAGATAGATGAGATATAGATAGATAGATAGATAGATAGATAGATATAGATATAGATAGATAGATAGATAGATAGATAGATAGATATTTTAATTTAATATAGTTCTCCATATACTGTGACAACAAGAGCAGCTAATTGTCACAAAATGTAATCGTGTTAAATTAATTGTTTAGTAATTTTAACAAAATTAAAATTCTGTTTTTCTTTCTATTTTTTGTAGCAAAGACTTTGAGGTATTGACCTAATCTAAGAACTATTCACGGGAGAGTAAAAAAAAAAAAAACTCGGTCTCCAGTTATATGTTCCCGCCTCTCTCAGCATTTCCTCGAGTCCGAATCAGCTGCTCTTGACTCAAATGCTGACGTGTTGCTCCGCCTCCTCCACAACATTCGGTTTCGCTTAAAACTAATACAAATAACTGCATTTCGAAACATGGTGACTCCACAAATGGTGACTCCACGATGAACTTCTATTCTGTATGAATTAAAGAGGAATGTGTTCATCTTTCTCACCTACTGCATTACAGCTCTATTTTCTGTCAGATATGGCGAGTCCAGATGTCAGCTTGAGTCTGCCACATCACTGAACGATTTCATGAGCAAACAACCCCCCAAGAGTCCATTTTGCCGTATTTTATGTCATAATACCAAGAGATTTCATTGGGAGGTGCCTCGTTTTACAACATAATAGGCTGTAAAGGCCCAGCGCGTCGTACTTATTACCGTGTAATGGATTTGAAGCGTGTCTCCCATCTCTGATGTAATCGTGCATGTCTCCGGCTTCACCTAAAATGGTCAAAGACATAATATTGAGAAATATTAGAGTGGACGTCGTATTGCAAAGGGAATGAAACGCGCAGAACATCGACTGTACTACAAAAATGCAACACTGTGAATATGCATGTTTGCGGTGAGACGTGAATGTACAAGCAGTAATAGTCAATCTAGTCATTCATTAAAACAAAACTTGACCCAATTTACCAGTGTCTCCACAACCAACTGTTCGATCACGCTTTCTTTGCTATCTCCGTCCTCAGCCGCAACAAATGTTAAAGCTGCGAGAAAAACCAAGGCGATCCCTGTCCGAATTCGCATCGTATCTCACGTTATGAGAAAAATCAGCACCAACAATAAAGGCCACAGAAAGGATAAAAGCTAGTCTAAGTGGCTCACTTCCGTCACGAGAGTCGCCCCACTGCAGCCTGCAGCGCTGAGAGAGCCAATAAGTCACTGAGGCGAGATGCCAGTTAAAGCTGATGTGTTATTATAGTGAAGAGATAACGGCGGGGTTAGTTAGACGACCCTCGAACACTGGACCAATACCTGGGTCACTGGAATCCCCGCCTCATAATCCGCCAGCATCCCCCAGCAGTCTCTCCACATGCTGCTGCTGCTGGAGAGTTTCCCCACTAGAGGGCGCATGATATGCTGAGGTGGAGAAAAGCACTGCACTGCAAACGGAAGGAACAGCAAAAATAATAGTTGTTGTCAAACAAGTTTCCACAGAGCCCCGCCCCCGCCCCGTTGAAACAATGAGCAATGAGCATGAAGTATTTCATGATCAGAAACGTACGCACTTCAGCTTTAAGATTATTTTCTTTACAATAAACTTAAAGGGGTCATATGATGTTGCTAAAAAGAACATTATTTGGTGTATTTGGTGTAATGAAATGTGTTTATGCGGTTAAAAGTGAAAAAAAACATTATTTTCCACATACTGTACATTATTGTTAACGCGTCGATTTTTACAAAGCTCATCGGTCTGAAAAAGCGAGGTGTGCTGTGATTGGCCAGCTATCCAATGCGTTGTGATTGGCCGGATAAAGGAAAAATTGAAATCGCATCATATGACCCCTTTAAATGAAAACATAGACAAATGTCAAAGGTATAAATTGTAATCTTTAGGCTATAATGCTTTATCACCATAAGCTGTAAAGTAAGGCGTAGCATCTGCTGTAAGTACAGCCTAATTATTTGCTTCTTTTAATTCACATTAGGTTGACAATCTTATTTTTATATATTTAAGTTATCTTTGAGTTATCAAGTTATCTTTGCTTTATTTTAGTATCACCACTACTATTATAGTTTTTGTGAACATTTTGAATTAGATTTTATTTTATTTTTCTGTTTTCATTGTAATTTTAGGTTTAGTTTTAGTAATTTTGTTGTGTATTTTGTTATTTGAATTAGTTTTTAGTTTTTATTAAAATATATCTAATATAGTTCACATTAAGTTTTAATTGTTAGTTAGTTTAGTTTAGTTTAGTTTAGTTTATTTAGTTTGAGTTATTTTAGTGCTTCAGCTTAAACTAAACGAAAAGGAGAAATGTTGCCTTGGCAACCAGCTGAAATAAAATATTTTAAAAAATTATTTCAGTTAATAGTATTTATTTAATTTTAAGTAATGACATAATGTTTTAGTTTAGTTTAAAGATAATAACAACCCTTGAGTAGACTGCCATGATGTATGTTACTAAACTATTAGATATTAAGCCTCAGTTCAACAGTTTATTTACTGTTTAATTTCAAGACTTCAAACGTATTTTTCTTTTCCCTTTTGTTTTGATCATTTTACAAAGCCCTCAAATAGCCCTAAACAGGTCAAAAATAAATGCAGGCCTACAAATGTTATGCTTCAAGAAATACAACAATACATCAACAATGCTAGATATTTGCTAAGAATTTCCAGTAAAGTTGTAGTTTGAAGGAGTGTTGTAACACCTCAAGCATTTATTTGACTATGCTACCTGACCTGACTGGAGGCAGTCTCAAGATGCGAAAAACAAACATCGCGAGAACTCCCCATCGAAGCCTGTGCTGTGGCGTAAACTCTCGTGAGATCTTCTCTCAGTCTCTCCGTGTCCAAAATCGGCTGGTGCCAGCTCGCAAGGTAATCCAGATACGTTCAATTGTTGTGACTGCTTTAAAATGAAGCGCTTCGAAGTGGTTCTGACTGCTTGAAATGTTGTTTTGTACGTTTGGTAGAATATGACAGCGCGTCTTATATTGCTGCTGGAAATAAAAAGTCGACAGGCCTTCCGCGAGGCACGTACCGTCGCTATCTCTCCAAATGAATGAAGATGTGTATCACAGATGATGTGTTGCCTTACGCCTCTTCAGACATTATGAGGGCTCGTATTGCGCTCGTGTTTTGATTGATTCCGGTTTGCTTTTGCATGAATTGTAGTGATCTCGCATAAGAATAATTTCATCCATCTGCTTCGTGCCAAACGCCTCTCTTCACGGAGAAGCTCCGATCTTTGTATCCTACACCGACATTGTCAAAGGGTCGTAGGCCTTTATGAGCTCCAACAGACCGGCAGTAATCTAAATAATTCATTTAGAGCCATATTAATGTTTTTTAAAGACCATTGTATTAGATGTCATGTGGATATCTCTCTAGCGCAGTCGTGTTTCGTTGTCTCGTGACTTAAATACATCCTTGGGGTCTCTTGCACGGGTTTGAGGAAACCTGGGTTTGTCGAATCCTTCAGAAACAAGGACGCCTTTAAAAAAACGATTAAGTCGTAATGTGTGGAAATTATATTCGTGCTGTGTTTTGTGTGAAAGGGTTTGCTGGAGGTGGGTCGGGCGTCAGCACCATGGACAGCTCAGCTGGAGTCAGACCCCCGCAGCTTCCGAACAGCATCATTATCAGCCTTTAAAAAAACGATTAAGTCGTAATGTGTGGAAATTATATTCGTGCTGTGTTTTGTGTGAAATGGTTTGCTGGAGGTGGGTCGGGCGTCAGCACCATGGACAGCTCAGCCGGAGTCAGACCCCCGCAGCTTCCGAACAGCATCATTATCAGATTACTGTTCATCACAACCACCTTCTCGTATTACTCTTAGTCGACACATTTACATGTGCATGAAGTATTGTTTATTGCTGGTTATGCACCTTTAATATTGTTAGACTTTGTCTTGATTTTATGTAGGGGAGGCCATGGCTCGTTGTCACACTTTTACTCAGAATAGGTTTAATTTTAAAAGTCAGTTTCTTTCTAGGCATGCTTTGCTATAGAAAATCTATTGAACATTTCCAGTGTGGCTAGGAAAAAAGATAAATTTTAACACACTTTGACATTTTGTGACAGCATAAACCAATAGCAGGGCATTGTGACATTATAAGTTGTCAAAATATGGACATGCAATTGTTTGTTTTTTTTTAACTTTTTTTCAGCAAAATGTCATTTTTGAAACACAAAACAAGTCATGTAACAGCAAACATGTAAAATGTAAAATATATATTTTTAAAATTACAACATTTAAAACATTTGAGAAACTATGCGGAATTTATATTTATGCTTTGCTATAGAAAATCTATTGAACATTTCCAGTGTGGCCAGGAAAAAAGATACATTTTAACACACTTTGACATTTTGTGACAGCATAACCCAATAGCAGGGCATTGTGACATTATAAGTTGTCAAAATATGGACATGCAATTGTTTGTTTTTTTTTTACTTTTTTTTCAGCAAAATGTCATTTTTGAAACACAAAACAAGTCATGTAACAGCAAACATGTAAAATGTAAAATATATATTTTTAAAATTACAACATTTAAAACATTTGAGAAACTATGCGGAATTTATATTTATATTATAGTTTATATAAGTCCTGAGCACACAGTTTAATGTTTTCAGTTGAAATCTGAACATGTGTCAATAATGTGGTTTTTATTATGTTTTGTTTTAGCCTGGATTTGTTTAACCAACAGTTATAGCAAGAATATGATGATTGGTATTTTAATTTGAAGGTCAGAATTTACAAAAAAATAAAAAATAATTAAAAACAATTCTAATTTAAAGGAACCGTTCACCCAAAAATGAAAATTTGCTGAACATTTACTCATTCTCAGGCCATCCAAGATGTAGATGAGCTTGTTTCTTCAACAGAACAGATTTGGAGAAATGTAGCATTACATCACTTGCTCACCAATGGATCCTCTGCAGTGAATGGGTGCCGTCAGAATGAGAGTCTAAAAAGCTTATAAAAACATCACAATAATCCACAAGTAATCCACACCACTCCAGTCCATCAATTAACATCTCATCTGTTTTTTATATTTGTAAAAAAAACATCAGTCATTGAGACATTTTTAACTTAAAACTGTTGCTTCCTGCTAAAATACTTCTTAGTCCATAATTCATAATAACGACTCCTCCAGTGAAAAAGTCCATTCCCTATTTTCCTCTCACATCAAAACACACACAAAATCCTCTCACAAAATCCACTGACATATGTTTAGAACTATTTTTGCTGTGCATATTTCTCTTCTGATTCAGACAAGATGACTTTTTCACTGGAGAGAGCAATATTATGGATAGAAGCCAGGAAGCAATGGTTTGAATTATTGAACACCATAATGATGGATTTGTTGATTGCAAACATGCAGCCTTTTCACTTCACAAGATCTTAATTGATGGACTGGAGTGTTGTGGATTACTTGTGGATTATTGTGATGTTTTTATCAGCTGTTTGGACTCTCATTCTGATGGCACCCATTCACTGCAGAGGATCCATTGGTGAGCAAGTGATGTAATGCTACATTTCTCCAAATCTGTTCTGATGAAGAAACAAACTCAATTACACCTTGGATTGCCTGAGGTGAGTAAATACTCAGCAAATTTCATTTTTGGGTAAACTATTAGTTTAAAAGGGTTTAAAACTAGGTATTGGAAACAACACACAAAGACACAACGCACTGCTTGAGAAATCAGTTTGTGTATTTGGATTTGACTCAAAACTTTATAGTTCCTTAGATATAGGCACTGTGTGACTAGCCCCAGCCTCACTTAAACAAGCTTAATTTCAAATTTAAGCCTTATACTTTGACATTCGTGAATTAGGGCAACGCGGTTATCGGGGAATGTGTTCTACATCTCGGATAACTCCACCTGGGAATGTTCAGGGATGACTAGTGGGGGTTCATGTGAAGGCGGGATATGTGAGGGATGAACAGATTGCGGTATGGCCTGAAGACATGGCAGGATCATAGTTTCTTCAGTTCAGTGTGTGTAGTTGTTAACATTCTTGTAGCTTGTACACATAAAGCATACTAGTGAAGATCAGAAATGTATACACACATCCAGAAGCGTCATGCTCATTCAATCTGCCACCTCAGATTTCTGAGACTTGCAAAATGAGTCTTTGATAATCAGTTGCGCGATTACAGTGGGTGAAAGAATGTTTGACTGAAACGTTCAGATTGCACAGATCATCATCAGTTGAATCACACCTTATGTAGATCATTTGCTGTAATCTGAGAGTGCATATTTGTATCTAAAGGGAGCATATTTCTACCTTAACGGTACATATCGGTACCTAAAAATGTACATATTAGTACCTAAAAGGAACAAAAAAGTACCTTTTGAAAAGGTACCGCCCTAGTGACAGCTATTGTACCTTTTTTCTGAGAGTGTATAAATATACAAACATACCCACGCTACTGTTTAATGTTTTTGAATAAAGTCTCTCATGCTTATCTAGGCTGCATTTTTGATGAAATATACAGTAAGTAAAAAAATAGTACTACTGTGAAATATTATTTCAATTTGAAAAATGTGTAATATATTTTAAAACAATTTATTCCAGTGATGACAAAGATGAATTTTCAGCAGCCATTACTTCAGTCTTCAGTGATATGCTGATTTGATTAAACATTTGTATTATTATCAATGTTAAAAATGGTTCTTCTTCTTAATATTTTGATGGAATCTGTGATGCATTTTTTTCAGGATTTTTCTTAACGAAAAGAAAGTTGAAAAGAACAGTATTTCTTTGAAATATATATATTTTCAAACATCATAAATGTCTTTTACTGTTACTTTTGATTAATTGAATATATCCTTGCTGAATAAAAGTGCACATTTCTTGAGATTTAGAATAACATTTAATCTTATTTTTCCCTTTCCAGGACTCTAGATTTCTAGACTTTTTCTCAGCTATATAACCTTGTTTCTCAAGGCTTTCAGTGTTTTACCTCAGTGGATTGTTTCACACCAAGGACTCACAGCTTTCTGGATTGTGATTGGCTAGACGAAGCAAAACATTGAATCATGGGGAATATTTTTGGCAATCTGCTGAAGAGTCTGATAGGGAAGAAAGAGATGAGAATTCTGATGGTTGGATTAGATGCTGCTGGTAAAACCACCATCCTTTACAAACTGAAGCTGGGAGAGATCGTGACCACCATCCCAACCATTGGTAAAATCCTTCTCTTATTTGATGCTATTGTTATGTTGACTTTGTTACGATACTGTTATACAGGTATCTGTACATCCTTAGGCAGAATTCAAGCTCTGAGACACAATGTCATTTCAAATGAATTAACTAATTAATTAATTAAATATAATTAACTTTTGTGAAACAGCTGGTTGAAGAACATTTCCATATTTCAGTTTTTTTTTTATTACAATTCACTAAATTCCTTTTCTTGTGGGATGAGGCCATTACAATTTTAATTTACTATTTGAAATTAAATAGAGAAGATTATTTTTTAGTTCTGTATTTTGACTGTTACACTGTAACCTTTAGTTTCCATTTAGCTGAATATTGTAATGCTGCGATTACTGTTGGCAAATATAAATGCTTCCTATAGCAGAAATTGGCAGGTATACAGTATTTGTAGAAGTCTATAAGTTAGGAAGTTATTTTTAAGAAATTAAAATGTTACAATTTCCCTAGTGTCCCTACATATATAGTATCTAGAGCCGTTATATTTTTACAGTTGCTGTGAGATGAATGTACAGTAACTGAATTGTACTGTGATCCTGGGCCACACAGTGTAAGTTTATGATGTTTGTGCTTTAAGGTTTTAACGTGGAGACAGTGGAGTACAAGAACATCAGCTTCACTGTGTGGGATGTGGGTGGTCAGGATAAAATCAGACCACTCTGGAGACACTACTTTCAAAATACACAGGGTGAGTTACACATACACACAACTTCTCCCGTTTAAACACAAGCTGTATTGAGTTGTCTGTGTAAATGATTATAATTTGGCGTGTCTGTGTAGTTTGTGTTGTGTTCAGTGAGCACCACAAACTGCATTTACACTGCTGTGCCTGCAGAGCCACCTTGAAAACATCAGTCAAGCAGGGTTATTATAGTTACCTAAAATTAAAACCATAAAAATATTTCTGTTACTTGAATTAAAATAAACATTAACTGAAAGAAAGTACAAAAAATTATATATGTAACTATTATTATTTATATTTTAAAAACTTATTTTATTGCACTAGTTTAACTTGATGTATTAATAAAACTAAAACTGAAAAAAAGTCATAAAAACTATACAGTCATACTTTATAAAAACTAATAAAGATGAGAAAAACACATTACTGAAGCATTAACTAATTAAAATTGAAAATATTAATAAAAACTATAATAATAATTTCTGTGATACTAAAACAACACTGGTTAAGATGTCCACATCTTAGTGCAAAACAGTATTCATAAATAAAAATTTTCTTTTTAAACAAAACATTGCATAGCTGAATACAGTCAGTGTATTCTTTTGTGTTGTGTTAATGTTTGTTGCTTGTTGAATAATATTTAGTCTCTATTCTTTATCTTTGCTGATTTTTCTTACCTTAGGTCTTATCTTCGTGGTTGACAGCAACGATCGGGAGAGAGTTAACGAGGCGCGGGAGGAGGTAATGAGGATGCTTGCAGAAGACGAACTGCGTGATGCTGTCCTTCTTGTCTTCGCAAACAAACAGGTACTGCATCTCTCCTTCATATGACATATTCTTGATATATTTTTACAGCTGGAGATTTTAAATTGTGGCAATAACCAATAAAGGAACTTTAAATTATTTTTTTTAAAATAAAGCATCCCTACTACCTGACTGATATCACAAAATACATGTCCTCAAATATTTTGATATTTATGCTATAGTTCAAAAGATCGACACTTTTATTCAGCATGGATGCATTCAATTGATTAGAAGTGACAGTAAATACTTTTACATTGTTACAAAAAAAATATATTTCAAATGAACTTTCCATTCATCAAAGAATCCTGAAAAACGAATCACAGTTTCCACAAAAATGAGCAGCATGACTGTTGTCAACATTGTTAACAATAATGAATATTTTTTCGAGCAGCAAATCCACATATTAGAATGATTTCTGAAGGATCACTGAAGACGAGTGATGATGCTGAAAATTCAGCTGTGCATCACAGGAATACATTACATTTTAAGTATATTAAAACAGAAAACAGTTATTTTAAATTGTAATGACATTTCACAATATTACACAGTTTTAACTGCATTTTTTATCAAAGAAATGCAGCCTTAGTGATCATAATAGACTTCTTCTTTTTTTTTTTTACCTCAAACTTTTTAACATTAGTGTATTCATTACTTGCAGAAAATTGTATTTACTCAGAAAACACGGCTGCTTTTGAATGTTCATCAATGGACAATCCATAATCTATTGTATGTAATTCGGCTGCTAGATTTGTGTATTTGTTTCAGAATAAAAATATCTAGTCCCATAGCAAATACTTAATTTCACAATCGACTCTGTCATTTTATTCCTCCTTGACTCCAGGATCTGCCAAACGCTATGAATGCAGCTGAGATCACAGACAAGCTCGGCCTCCATTCGCTCCGCCATCGCAACTGGTATATACAAGCAACCTGTGCGACCAGCGGCGACGGTCTGTACGAAGGGCTCGACTGGCTCGCCAATCAGCTCAAGAATAAGAAGTGAAGGGCGGGATTTTCTTTACGTGGCCGTCTCTCGCTTTGGGAAAGGGGTGGGACTAATTTGGCCTTTATGTTTGGTTTTTCTTTGTTTATTTTTTTGGTTGTATTCTAGAAAACACAGTATGTGGTTTAAAGAGCCTTCTATGCTCTGCACACGCATTCACACGCAGATCAACATGCATCTAATTTCCTCTGTTGACTTTTCCATTTCACTGTACGAACAGTATCGGTTTATAGCATCGACGTTTGGTCGATTTCATCGTCTCTCCCTCACTCACTCACTAACGTGTTTACAATCAGTGATCAGTGTTGTCCTTGACTGCCATGAAGAAGATTGTAGGGTCTGGGCATGCTCATGTATTATGTAATATGCTTATGTATTTCTCAGTAGATGTGATTATGATGCAGTTTGCCTCCTCACGCACACAATATCCACAGTCTGCGATCCCGGCGGTTTGTGATTGCGTTAGATACCCTGCTGTGTTTTGCATGGCTGTTTCTCTCGGTGTCGTGTTAAACGTTGTGGTGTAGTAGTGGTTAGATCTGCATGTGTGTGTTTGGTCACACAGAGCTGGTTGGTGTTGCATGCTGCTTTGTGGCCGTGCTGTACTAGAATGGACGCAGTACAAATGTTCCGTGTCACACATCCCTCACCTAAATTGTGAGTCAAGCGTGGTGCTGTTGGGTAGTCCACCATAATTCGCATTCGAGTAAAGCTGTAAATAAAGCTTTTTCCAATCAAACGCCCCTTTGTTGTAGAATTGACTTGGCTAATTGTTGCATGGGTAAAACTATTGTTTTGTAAGAATCACTAGCATTGTCTGCATGGCATGCATGATAGATAGATAGATAGATAGATCTGGAAAAGGATGTGGGTGCACCTGAACTTGTGTTTTACACCCTAAACCTGGATGAATATGGGTGAGTACTGTAATTAAACTGCAGCTTATTTACTTTGCATTGAACTTTACACCTTTCAATCATATGTTCGTTAACTAAAATCCTTAATTTCCATGTCAACAGATCTCAGGGGAACTGTAACTCCAGCCCAAACAGCAGCAAGTGTTGCCGGGAAGAGCATTTCATCAATTTCCGTGAGCTGACCTGGACTCAGTACTGGATCATTGAGCCGGCCGGGTACCAGGCCTTCATATGTGCCGGAGGATGCAAGCAGCCCAAGCGTGGTTACTATGGATACGGGCAGAGGACCTGTGCAGTGATGGAGAGCGCGCCGCTGCCCATGATGTACCTGGTGAAAAAGGGAGATTACACTGAAATCGAGGTGGCAGAGTTCCCCAATATGATTGTTGAGAAGTGTGGCTGCTCAATGGACAAAATCCCTCCAGTCTAAGACTGTCTCATGGTTTGCTCTCAGATGAGAGGTGATGATGTTTTAATTCAATATCTCAGAGATACTGCTGAGATTCACATGTTACAAATCCCCACTGAGCACTTGAAAATCAAATTATTTATGAATTATTTATGTAATGTAAGCATCAGAAATAGCCTGTTGAGTGATGTGATTTTTGAAAAATAAAAGAAGTAATTTTATATCCATGAGTCATGTTTTCATTCTTTTTTTATTATTATTTTAACATGATTCACATAGTCATATTTTTTGTTTTGAGGCCTATATACATTAAATGAAATCATTTTTAGTTTATAATGTTTAGAAAAAACACCTACTCAAAAAAAGAAACATTAAAAATAAATATAAAATCCATGATATATATTGAAATATATATACAGACAGAAGCATGTGACAGAGACATCTAGTTATTTCAATGAGCGTGTGTCTCTGGTGAAGAAATGAACAAACTGCACTGGATTCAAACACTCATTTGACCTTGAAATATCAAACCATCCTGTCACTAATTCTGGAGACAAAACATGTTACAACTTCACCTGGCATTAGATTTATACCAGCAACATTCCCACCTTAACATAATTTAACATAAATGTACCATTTCATTTGATTACTGCCCATAAAACCAACTTTCCTCAGACTGTAACATAATAACCTCAATATATAAACAGAAATATACACATATACAGGTATACAGATAGATAGATAGATAGATAGATAGATAGTGAAATGCTGTTTAACACAGTCTTTTGTTAGTTGCTATACTAATTTACCACTGACATGATTAGTCGATTAGTAGATTGTTATGACACTAAACTGTGCTATTTTTGCTTTTGCACTCATATTAGTGAACAGCATAAAAACAGCACAACCAAAGCCTCGGTATGTCAGTGGTCTGTGGCAAACTGCATAATAACTCGTCTACTTCTGTGTTTGTCGCATGTTTCATGCTCATAATGTATTTTGTGGGTTCAGACTAACATATCACACCCCCAACGAATGTGACTTTTGTTGAATTAGTGCACACATTTTGGCTTTTGATTAGTATGGTTCAGAAATGAGAAAATATATAGATATACTGTATATATATTTATAGTAGGTTGTCTTTTGTGTTTAGCACTTCAGGCAAATATCACAGATGCAGCGCTGATGTATAATTCATAGTACTAACATAATCTATATGTGTTACAGACTACAAGGACAAATGGAAAATCAAATTCTAACCTATTTTACCATACTAGCTAGTGTAAATACAACAAAACTGCTTATCCTGCATTGCATATGTGTTGGTTATCCATCCTTCACACAAATCTAACACTAACACAGTCTGCTTGTAATTGTATTTGTTTCTGCGAATAGCACTGTTTTCTAGTTTGCATATTAGCTACACATTTTTGGCGTCTTCCCACTTAATACCCCGCACCTTTACACTAAAACCCATTGTTGTGACTCTTATGACTGTATGAACATTTTTAAAAGACAAGTCTTTTCAACCTAGGACATGATTTGAATGGAGTCTTATTTTGAGTGCTGTAGCGTGTGATGCAGGAATGGGAGAGTTACCAAAACAACTGTGCTATTTAGCAAGACACTTAACCTCAAAGTATCCAGTTTGGCTTTGGACACACTCTACAGTAGTATTTCAGCATATAATGCAAACAACGATATGTCCAACAAGGCCATTTCTACACAAGTCTGCAGTGTGAATCGTCCAGTCTGTTAAGTTTTGTGGCCTTATCTTCTTACAAATGTGAGTTTTCACAAGGTTATTTATTAACTAAGTTATTGGGTCACTAAGTTGCTTGTTTCGTTTTTGGTTGATCTGGGAACAAAAGGGGTTAAAAAAAAATCTCAAATACATAGTTCGCTTGACTTCAGAGCATTTATTCTTTGCATTAAATTGTTTGTGTGCTTATTGAGTAGCTAGGGTTGACTTTTTAGGATGGTTTAAAGTTTGATTTTGTCTTATATATTATATTTTTATTTATGTATTTATTTTGGTGAATGTTTTTTTTCCTCTGTGTGCTTATGCATTTTCTTTGTTGATTTTTTACTGTGTTGGGTAAATCATTTTGATGGCTTATACGGTGTCAGTGAACATAATCAATGAAGGAGGAAAACAATTTCTCACTGAATAATTAATAAATGAATAAATAGAACTTAGAAATCATGGATGAAATGTGTAATTATCTGTCACAGTAGATTAAGAAAGATTATTGTTGATTATTATGATGTAGACACCAAAAACGTTGTAACACTACACTCAAATAAAAACAGGAAAATTATTTGCTGTTTCTTCTCTATTTTGTGTTTGTTCCATTTTACATGTTTAATGCTACTTTCAAAGCTACTTTTTTTAAAGTGGACATAAGAATCTTATATAATGACCACACCTGCTGGCAGATTATAGTGGATAATGTTGAATAAACCTATCCGCACCTGGTCTGGAATATGCTTTAGTAAAGCCACCTAATGACTTCATCATATTGTATATTATGTTAAATGTCTTATATTGATCTCTGGTAGGCGCCAGAAATGGATCATGTCTAATCCTAGATTATGTTACAGTTTTAATGGATTGCATTATTTATCGCAAATCTCTCACAAAGATAAACTGCTTTGAAACTTCTGAGCTGGATTCGTGGAGTATTTCGAGTCTCTTTCTGCACTGCAGCCCTTTACGTCAACCAGAAGAGGGCAGAATTATTGTGAAAACCATCTCACACACACACACACACACACACACACACACACACACTTTTCAGTTTATGAAAGGAAGTAAAGAATAAAAAGCATATTCTCATTACGGCATATGTGCTTCAATATGTCTTTGCCAATGTATAATATAGTATAGTATAATATTCAGTGGAAAATATTTATTAATATACAACATGCTGTTCAAAGCAGAAAGTGTGTGAGAGAGCTCGATCAGGGTGTGTTCTGGCCCATTATATTGTTGGCTGGTGAGATATTAACAAACAAGGAATGTGTCTCAAACCCTAAAAGACCTTGTTTATGCACTGCATTTCACTGAAGAAAAAGAAAAATCATATAATTAAAAAAAAAGTAAAAGATTGTTAATAATTTTTCTTGTTAATAATTTTTACAGTTAAATGTATTTTGGTGAGGCACAGTATGTGATGTGTGCTCTCAAAGTTTAGTGTTTACTGTTGAGACATTTAGAATTTAAAGTATTACCATGAATAAATTACAAAAGGGACATTAAAATGGGAAAAAATAAATACATACCAATATAAAAAATTGTATAGTAATTTCAAATATACATTATTTAAAATCTATTCTTTTGGCAGTTATTCGATTTATGTGATTTTTGTGTCTGAAAGTGAAGTTTCTAGTAAAAGTTTTAGTGGTTGCTTGAGTGTTGAGGAATTATAATGAATACAATCCAAAACGACATTAAACGACATTAAAATGGGGAAAAAAACAAAATGGAAAAACGTAAATACATAAATAAAAAAATAATCATAAAAGATTATTTAAAATGTACTATTTTGACAGTTGTTTCTTGTGTCTGAGAGTGATGTGTGCTCTAAACACTTTCTTGTCTCAGAGGTCTGAAGCCATCTGAACTGAGGCACAAAGTGTTCTTTGTGAGACTGTGAGTCCAGAGCCATCAAAGAAACACTGATAAACTAGTGGACGATACTGGGACACAATGCCAGCCTTGACTTACACACAATTGGAGCCTGATGCATCAGAGCATATAGGGTATAGAGCACAGTAAAGAATTCAGGGTTGTTGTGTAAGTATGTCTGTCTGTCTGTCTGTGTACTACTTGTTTGTTCAATCAGTGCCTCATACAGACCGGTAGTGCAGGAAGAGCTGGTCTTTAAAACCTGTTTTCCAACTGAGACTATTACACTGAACACTCACATGCTGTCTGAATGGAGAACTAGGAGTTACCAATATGAAAACACTGTATGCTATGAACAGAAAAAAAAAAACATACTTTAAAATCATTATTTTATTTATGTGTAGCATGTATATATATATATATATATATATATATATAATTAAAAAAAAAGTAAAAGATTGTTAATAATTTTTCTTGTTAATAATTTTTACAGTTAAATGTATTTTGGTGAGGCACAGTATGTGATGTGTGCTCTCAAAGTTTAGTGTTTACTGTTGAGACATTTAGAATTTAAAGTATTACCATGAATAAATTACAAAAGGGACATTAAAATGGGAAAAAATAAATACATACCAATATAAAAAATTGTATAGTAATTTCAAATATACATTATTTAAAATCTATTCTTTTGGCAGTTATTCGATTGATGTGATTTTTGTGTCTGAAAGTGAAGTTTCTAGTAAAAGTTTTAGTGGTTGCTTGAGTGTTGAGGAATTATAATGAATACAATCCAAAACGACATTAAACGACATTAAAATGGGGAAAAAAACAAAATGGAAAAACGTAAATACATAAATAAAAAAATAATCATAAAAGATTATTTAAAATGTACTATTTTGACAGTTGTTTCTTGTGTCTGAGAGTGATGTGTGCTCTAAACACTTTCTTGTCTCAGAGGTCTGAAGCCATCTGAACTGAGGCACAAAGTGTTCTTTGTGAGACTGTGAGTCCAGAGCCATCAAAGAAACACTGATAAACTAGTGGACGATACTGGGACACAATGCCAGCCTTGACTTACACACAATTGGAGCCCTCAATCCAGCATGACATTATTATCGATACAGCAAAGCCCGGATTTGTGTATGTGTGTTTGTTCAGGGAGAGAGAGAGAAAGAAAGAGAGAGCGAGAGCGAGAGCACATGAATCTATCACAATCTCGTCGTCGGTGTTTTTAGTGTAGGCTGTGAGGACTGTTGGTTACTGAAGGAAATTCATAATGGCCAAGAGTTCGCTATCAAGGCTTTATGACTTGTTTACATGTTTACACGGTCGACGTCACCTTGATCAGACCCAATCAGCGTTCAGCATCGTTCACCTGTACGCGTAAACA